TCTCTCTCTCTCTCTCTCTCTCTCTCTCTCTCTCTCTCTCTCTCTCCAGTCTGATTTCCATATATGGTTTTGGGGATTAGAATCAGATGAAGACAGGAATTTACAGTAGTTCCACTGTGGTTCCACGCTCCATCAACACCAACCAAATGTCTGATTCTGTCCCATTTGACTTTGAGGACTCGCCTTGTCTTCCAACTCTCATGAGAACACACACACACACACACACACACACACACACACACACACAGAGAGATTGGGACTGGGTGAGGTCATGTTGGAGTTGAGGACTGCTGGTTTCCTGTCTGATGACGACTCTCCCTCCTTTAAAGGCTCTGCAAGCTACACATCCAACTCTCCTCTTTCACTCTTCATCTGTGTGTTAAAACCCTGTGAAAACTGAATGGGCCTAGCGGTTTATCGTGATGTCACCACATTCCAAGAGCTGAAGTATCAGCTCGATGGAAATGATGGAACCACCCATATGGGTTTTTATTAATGCGAGTATGCAGACTGAAAGCCTATGAGTGTGTTATTGATGAACACTTTTGTCCCAAAATGTAATGCACACTAGAATGGAAACTGAAGCTTTGTCCCACTATGACATATTACTGTGTGCATGTGTGTGTGTGTGTGTGCGTGTGTGTAGAACCCCCAGTATTCGAGCACCAGCACCTACGTGATTTACGCTCACCTGCTGAGGCAAATCGCAGCTCTCTCCGAGGCCGACCACCACTTCCTGGTTCATTGGCTAAAAAAGTAAGTCTGTGTGTGTGTTTGTGTGTCAACCTTTGATGTTTGCTTGCAAGTTGCCATAGCTTTCTCTGTCATTTTTTAAACTATTTTTGTCTCTATTTGTCTTTCTCTCTCTCAACCTGTCATCCTCTTCCCGTCTTTACTGTGTTTCCATCAGCAGGAATAAAGCAAAGGCATTTTTTGGGGGGGTATTTGCATCGTTGCTGTATTATCTTTCACATTTTCTCCTCGTCCAAACTGAGTCTGAGGACAGAGGCTGTAGTACGTTGAACAGATTGTAAACTCTTTAAAGGGAAATATGTGATTTGAGTCTCTGTACTGTAAATAACTTTTGGAAGTGTAGGCGGATTGGGTCTTGTCATCTGGTCTTTGCAGCAGGGTTAGCTGGTGATTGATTGTGTGATGGGAACGTAAATTTAAAGTGTTTCCATCTCTATCTAGGAATATTTTCCTTTTTTCCATCATCATCATCATCCTCTTTGTTTTCCCACTCTAATCTGAGGAGGGGGGCGGGGGAGGGGGGTCACAGTTATGGAAATCACATTTTCACCACTTTCATATATGCTGCATATACAGCACGTCATGATTTTGATTCTAAATCGTTAATCGCTGAAATGAGCTTTCGATTTCCAACTTTAATGTCAAAAGCAGGATTGTTTTTTTCCCAGCATTTTTTTCCTTCCACCCCAGCCGCCTACTTGCTTCAACACTGTTAAAGTTATTGAACTTTCACCACAGCACCTTAGTGTGGTACATTACCAAAAACATGTAATGCTACATTTGAAAATGTTTATGACAGTTGTCAGGGTGTCTTTACGAATCAAGACTCCAAAGTCTTACAAGTGTTAAAAAACTGTTTGTAGAACTGTTTGAATAGAAAATCTAATTGTAGATCTGGAGAATCGAGACACCCCTTTACAATAGCATATTACTGTCCAACCCTCATCAGACAGTTGGATGGCATGTGTGTGGCATCGCTACCCAGCCTGCAAGAAAAACTGCAACTTTTCTGTATTTTGGAGGTTATCAACTGCCAGCCAGTTTAATCGCTTTTAAAACTTGACTCACAGCCTACAATTACAAATGTAAGCCATCCTCTCTCTCAGCCTTAAGAAGGAGCCCGAAAGAATGCATCCTTCATGTGGTGATGATTTATAAGCTAACTGCTCTAAATTACAAGTTCTGTTTAGTTTTTCTCTCTTGAACTGTCTATTTTTGTGCATGTGTGTATATTTCAGGGTATGTGCAATTTGTGTAGTTTTGCCTCTGCCAAGCTGCTGAAGTTAACCAATAACTTCTGTGTGTGTGTGTGTGTGTGTGTGTGTGTGTGTGTGTGTGTGTGTGTGTGTGTGTCAGGGTGTCGGCGAGGCGTTTCAGGCAGCCGGTAGAGCGCCTCATGCAGTTTATCTCCACCCGACTGTTTCCTGCAGAACCAGACGAACTTCCTCCTCTGGCCAAGTGCTCCTGGTGGATTCCCTCTGCTACCAAAGTGCTCGGCCTGTTCAGTGAGTCTCACACACACACACAAACACCTACACAAACACACACACACACACACACACACACACAAAAGATAATTTTGTCACACTTAACGTTCCATCTTCTATTCCTGTCCTCAGATGCAGCCAACAGTGTCTCCTCTACTCCCATCATGCCTTTCACCGACTTCTACAACATCACTCTGGAGCACATAGACTTCATGGAGGAGTACAGAACCTGGCAGAACTACGGCAACTCAAATAGGTCAGATAAAGTTTGTCTCTTTGTCTATCCAGTTTAACTGGCTTTTCCAGCTACTGACTTTTACTAAAATGACTGAATGTGTCCAGAATGTCTCTAATACCAAACTTCGTTGTCTGAAATGTTGTTTGATTGTATAATAGATGTGTTGCTTGTGTGAAATGTTCAAGGACACAGAGCTTTTTTATACATAGATGGATATTAAATAATGGAGCAGTGGAATAGACAGTGAGTAGTGACTTTTTCCCAGGGAAGGTGTCCCTGCTCTCGCCCCCTAATAAGGACCAGAAATGCTAACAGATGTGTCAACACATTAGCTTGACTCACTGCAAAGATGACCAAGAAGTCCTGGAAGTCAGACCAAGTATCTGTGCCTGTGCAGGGACGAAGTAACGTTCCCACACAGCTGCACTTCATCCAGAATGGTGGAAACACTTCTAGAAGCCGCAAAGTCTGTTTCACGCCGCGTCACGGCTCGTTGGACGTCTGATAAAGGAAATGGATCCAGAGTTTACAACGCAAACGATGGGCTCTAAAAGTTCCTGGCTGATGTGGTGGGGAATTCTGCTCATTCCGGGTGTAGATTTCAGAGCCTGCTCATTTGAGTAAAAATGATTTTAAAAATACACTGGAGAGAATGAAGTGTTTTCAGGGTTATTAACTTTTCATATTTCTTCTCGTCCTCTCTCAGGTTTTCCTTCTGTCAGTTTCCCTTCATCCTTTCGACAGTGGTGAAGAAAGCCATCATCCAGAAAGACTCTGAGCAACAGATGATCAGTCAGGCCAGGGTGAGACACACACACTCACACACACATGCAAACAGTTTTGTACCTCATTTAAATAATACGACCCTAACGGTTAATCTAATGCCGTTGTTAAACTGTTTTGTAGAAGCGAGGACGTCACTTTCCTTATTTACAAGTCCGGTAGAAGTACAGTAACATAGACGCATTAAACCTAGAAATCAGGCTAAATGTGCAACAATGTACGCAAGCAACAAATGCATGTCCACACACTTTAATTGTGTGTGTGTGTGTGTTTGACAGCAAAGCCTGGTCAGTAAGGTTTCTCGCAGGCAGAGAGTGGACATGAACCTTCTGTTCCTCAACATTAAAGTACGACGAGCACAACTCCTCAGCGACTCACTGGATGAGGTCAGTACACACACACACACACACACTTTAATCAAATAAAATATAATATAATACAAGGTACTCATTAAAGCAGTATTACATAACAAGGGCTCCCTCCCTATGTATATGGTAAATATTAATGAAGAAAAAAAATCATGTTTCCTCCGCAGAGAATTCGTTATTTTATGTGTGAGAAGTTAATTCTGTCTCTCGAGGCAAACATAAGCGCATGTTCATGTTTAAGGGATGCATGGTGATTAAGTTTTGAACTTCTACATGAATAAACATGAACATATGTTTATCTTTTCCATGTCAAACTCGCCTCCTGACAGGAAACCGGAGCAACCAACTAGCTTGTTTGAGATTTGAAGTACTGTATGAAATACTTCTGTGTTCACAGACATGTTCTGAGATAATGTAGAACAATGGTTGTTGTGTTGAATATGTTTTGGCAATCAGTGCCAAACACATTTTTTAATTAAACAAATCAACTTTAATTAGTTAATTAGTAATTAATTAGTTTTAGTTAGTTAGTATTCGCACAGGACTTATATTACCAGGGGACCTGATGTGATGTAGGAATAATCCCCCATGTCTGTGTTTTGTGCAGCGCATCCACACAGGAAGTCTGTATTTTACTCAAAAGTACTGATATTATCTCCCAGGTATGATGTCAAGTCTCTGCCTTTATATACAAAATATTATACTATATGATATTTATATTTGATGTTATTATTATTATTATTACATTATATACCTTTTTGTGTTTATATGATACTGTGTGAATGTGTCGCCATGCTGTGTAGCAAGATGAGCCTCCTGAATTTGCACCCACACTGCTGTCAAAACATTCATTTGTAATTGACCACACAGCCTACAGAATTCTCCACGAGGAAAGAGGCAGAAATATTTAAAACCTTTGAACCTTTCAACAACAAAAATACAAACCCATATCACGAGATTACCACATGATGCTTCATTGACACATCTGCCTGTAAGAAGTGTGTTTACTGAAGCACTGAGCAAAGATAATACAGAAGGAAGGACTTCATCTCACAGATGAATTTTAGGGCGTTATGAGGTTTTGATGACAAAAACAGGCAAAATGTGTGGTCTGGGAACACAGAGAGGGCAGTGAAAATACAGAACCACTCATGTGTCAACCTCAGACGCTCAGTCTGACCTAAACCGAACTGTAAATCTCATGTGAACCCTCAAATCTAAGTCTAAGTGATGTTAAATGTTAGTTTCTTCAAGAAGTAAGATTCAGCCCAAATGTCTTTAGCTTTAAGATGGTCCTCGGGGTTCTGTCCTTTTTGGCCTGGACAAGTTTGGGAGTAAAGGATCACATGTTTTAAACTCTGGGGTTTTAATGAAACAGCTACGTGATAGTTTTTGTTATAAAAAAAGAAAATATTCGTTTCAAAACTGCATGCATTAATCTTATGTTGTGTCTCCTCCGTCTGTAGCTGACGAGGAAGCGGTGTGACCTGAAAAAGAAGCTGCGGGTGACGTTTGTCGGGGAGGCGGGGCTGGACATGGGCGGCCTGACAAAGGAGTGGTTCCTGCTGCTGGTGCGACAGATCTTCCAACCAGACTACGGTGAGACACACTACCATCAGGCCGTCTAGAGTGTACCACAGAGGGGCTTCAGCTGACACCGCACACCACGCGGTGGTCTTATTGGAGGTTATTCTTACCAAACTGTATGAGCTGTGTCCATAAAACAGCCTTAATCAATGTAGTGTGAATAAAGAACATGGAAAAGCTGAGATCTACCAACAGAGAACAACAGATAACGACTCGATTCTGGTGGGAAATCCAGTTTGATGCAAAGTCAATGGAAAGTGAAGCCGTCATTTACTGTAAACAAGTGGAGAGAAAATTAAACTGCATTTTTATTAGATGGAGGTCTCTGTGGACAAGCTCTGAGAGTTTTCAGGTTGGGGAAGCTGCAGCAGGAATACGTGTCAGATGGCTGAGAAAAGCGGTCAGTGTTGGTTTTGGAAACTGGAGCAGCTCCTGTTATGACTTCTCTTCTCTCCGTCTGTTTCTCTTTTCAGTTTACTCTCCTACAGACGGCCTGACTCTAATTATCTCCATATCTGTGTCACTATGTTTGTGTGCCCTTGTCTCTTTTCCCTTCCTGTCTTCTTCTCTCCTCCTTTAATCCGTTTGCCTTTGAGCCTCTCCAATCCTGACATTTTAAAGAAACAATCCAAAAATGGATCTTTTGAGTATTGAATCTGCCCCCTATAGTTTTAAAAAGTGGCTCTGAAAAAAATGTAGTATCAAGCATCAAAACTTTCATATCTCAAACCACTCATGCAGCACAATCCACCTCTTCTCCATTGATTCATAAGTTCAGCATGTTCCAAACAACTGTTGGCTTCCCTCTGGGTCACCACTGAAATCCATTATATCCTGGTTGTCCAGCCGTGCTTATGCCTAAACATGACAACACTGGTATTATTCTGAAGACCAAAACCAAAAATATGTCTCCCAATAACTTCCACTAATCCCTATACTTTTTGGCTCACATCCTCAAGCCCATTGGTGCTTACAGAAGAGTAAACCGAAACTTGATGACCATGAAATGATGAAATATGCCAGCTAGAATGAGGCAGAGACATGTTTTCTGATCTGCGGGAGCGCACAATTGGGGTGGATGTAATTTATGCCGATAACGAAGAGTAGTACGAAATATTCAAAATATTTGGGGAAGTATACCTGACTTTGAGAACGGAATATGCTGAAGTGGTAGTGTGTGATTTGGTGGAGTCACACCGCATAGACGGCTGGGACTCGCAGACATTATTTTAATCCAAATCCAAATTGAATTTATATGAAATGTGAGTGAACAGCTTTTTCCCTTTTTATTCAACAACTGCGTTTCCATCACTGTTGCTCCAATATTTCCTTTAACCACAAGAAACATTCTAACGTCATGTGAGGATGAAAAGCTCTTTTACAATATTGATGTAGAATTTTCTCCAAGAATTGCTGTTTCAAGTCAGCCTTTCTCCTCCAGTACATTGACGTCTGCATAATAAATACTTGAATGGAAACCGAGTCTGTATCTGCCTCTTCCCCCCTCCCCCTCTCTCTCTCTCTCTCTCTCTCTCTCTCTCTCTCTTTATCTCTGTCTCTCTCTCTCCTCTCTTCAAGTTGTTCTTTCCATCGTCTTTCCGTCTTTCTGCGGTCGTCTGTGTTTTTGGTGCCAGGGGACGTCGGCCCAAAGCAACACACTCAATGAAAGCTGTGTTCCCCTCATTAGCAGCACAGGGAAAGCCCCGGCTCTGCCTCACACACACACACACACACACTAAGCTGCACACATGCAGGTGTACACACACACACACACACACACAGGCTCTTTTATGCGTGAAGTGGTGTCAATTTCTGGTGTTCAGAGATGTGAGCGGTCCAGATGCGTGTCAGAACAGACTGCTGCTGTTTCTCTCAGTCAGAGCTGGAACGCTTCAGCGGCGCTTCACGATCCTGCAAGTGTATTCTGCTCAACTACCTGCTCCTCTTTTATCGCTCGCTACAAGTGATGCTCAGCAGAGCGGAAATAAACAACTCGGACCATGCAGATTTCTCGTCATTCAAAGTGAAATAGAAAATACATTCAAATAGAACTTAACAATACAAAATACAATTTTGCTCTATAAGTTTGGTTGCTCTTTCCATCCATCCTTCAAGGCCATCGTCCATCTTGCATCTCATCTCGTCAACTTTTTCCTACCTTGCCTCCATCTTTCCTTCTCTCCTTCCCTTGTCGGTCCATTCGTCCAGGCTTTATTGATTTATTAACCACCATTAATGTGCTAAACTTAATTTTATTTTTTCAGGAATGTTCACCTACATGAAGGACTCGCGCTGCCATTGGTTCAGCAGTTGGAAGTGTGACAACTATTCTGAGTTCCAGTTGGTCGGGACTGTATCCTTAAAGGAACAAAACACATTAGATTCAGCACACACTGTCTTTATGGAGACTGTGGGTTGTATGTTCTTATTAAAATAAAGTGTGAGAGTTTGTTTTTTAGTCATGGTTGTATGTTTAGGTTTTACACTTTGTTTGTTTGTACAATTTTGACTTTTTTCCCATCAAGAGTAGCTTAGCGTCTGCACAGACAGACTACATTAGCATTTTAATGTTCCTCAATTATATTCATAGTTCTCCAGTGGTTTCACAGCTTCTGGTTGTAGCTTTTATGTCTCCCAGACAAAACTGCAGTGTTTTGGGGTTGTACAGACACACACACACACACACCTACATATGTACTCTACTCTTATACTCCCTCCCCAACTCTCACAAACTGTACTATAAAACTCCTCTATTTCAAACCACAGAGGAGAAAGAGATACTTTAATGTGTGTTTTCAGGCTGTAAATCTGCACAGATATATCGCAAACTATATACAACTTCTTTTCTGCAGAAAATATGAAATGAAACAGACAGGGTTTGAAAGTGAAACATTTCTCCACAACAAGACGGCCTCAGTAATTTCACACCCACAGACTCTTACATAAGAAATGAGTCAAAACTGTTTAAAAGCAAACTGAGTATTGTAGAAGACATTCGCAATTTTCTTTTAAAAGGTCTTCGGATGCCGCTAGCAATGTTATGAATGTGGTATTTAAAGTGTATGTAGATAGTTTGTAGTTATACTACAAAGAGCCAGTGCACTGACTGTACAGACGTTTGGTCAAGCTAGTCATTTCTTAGAGTCACTTCTTAGAGTCACTTCTTAGAGACAGGGTTGTGTCCAGCTTTAGCACATAATACCTCAGACAGCTGCACATTCTTTCCTCCACTTGCAGCTTGTTTTAACAGGAAATGAGTCTATTTTGCCCGACACTTACAATAACTACTCCATTTGTACCTGCATTCATTAGAAACTTACAGTACTTAGTAATTACAAATGGTTGTCAGGTGGACAGAAATCGACGGATACGTTTCTTTCAAACATTAACATGACTTTCTGTTGTGTAGTTTCAAATACTGCAGGATAGCTCTGCTGTTGTTCCTGCTTTTGTATAGTGTACTTTCAGGACTTTGTCCATGTGTGTGTGTGTGTGTGTGTGTCTGTGCGAGTGTCTATCTATACAGTACGTGTGTGTGTGTATGTGTATAGAGAACGATCCAGCACTTCAGCCTTAGTTACTGGCCAGCTGGGAACTGTCAAAAGGTTATATAACCTAATAGCTGCCTGTTCCTCGCCAGGTTCTTGTGTGCGTGTGTGTGTGTGTGTGTGTGTGTGTGTGTGTGTGTGTGTGTGTGTGTGTGTGTGTGTGTGTGTGTGCGCTCCTGGATGTTCCATGCGTTTTCCACATGTGTGCGCACGCTAAGAGCTAATTTATCAATCGCCATAGATCCTGTTTAGTCGTCATGGTAGTGTTGCGTCACTATGAAGATGAAAAGGGAGCGGTGGAGAGAAAAAGTGTAACGGAGAGAGAAAGCAGAAAGAAAGATGGAAAGACTATGAACAAAAGTAAACATAAAAGAACAAACATTGATGAGAAAGCAGAGAAGAAGAGAGACAAAGTGGGACATGAAGCGAGAGAGACAGTACAGAGATGAGACTGAGGCATTGCAGCTGCCCGGTTTCCCTGCTCTTTGTGCATTTGTGCACGTGTGCATTATTCCTATGCTGCAATATTACATTACACAGGTTTGCTGTGTGGTACTTTGACTGATCACCTTCATTTGGGAATATGCAATATGTAGGCACAATGGCATCTTAAATAATGGAGAACAGGGTCTCAACATCATAAAGTAAAACTGCAATAAAACATCAGACAAAAAGGAATGGTGCTAAAAGAAGTTAAGCTAACTCACGAACATAATAACAACAATAAAATCATTTTGCGGCAGAGTGAACCTGAGGCTTTTTGGGGCCCCAGAGGGAAGTTTGGCAATCCGGCTTTGAACAACAAAGAGGGGGGCAGGTGATGGGAAGCTTGGTAGAGAGACATTTGTTGAGGCTGGACAGGGAGAATTAGATAATTGCAAGTACGGGTCACTTAGGACCAGATTCATGAAATAATGTGTAGATTCAGGTCTAAAACTATTGTCAGATTGATAAAGTCTAGGACTATGGTTCTGTGTACGAGCCAGACAAAGTGGGAAAAGATGATTTTTTTACTGTATTACACTGCATTTTCAGTGATAAAAATGATTTACTACCACGCAGCTTCTCTTAGTTTGTAGAGTAAAGGTTGGTCTCTGCACTGTGTAGGGAGACCGACATGCATGCAGATTCTGTCCCGTAAGTCTTTATTACCAAGTGGGCACAGTGGGAAGCTTCAACATACTACAACATTAGGGAAGCTCCGGGCTTATTCTTGGTCAGTTAGCAATTCTGTTGGAAATTTTGGTTGATAAGAAGATCGTTCTTGTTCTTGAGTTTTTGTAATCTTCATGTTTGCATAATAATGTTGCAGAATCTTTTTTTCTCAGTTTGTTGTTTTGTGCCTCATCTTGCTGTCGCACCAATGAAGCATCAAGGAAAGAAAGGAACGGGCTGAAAGTGGGAAGTGAAGTAGAAAAACAGACAGAGACATAATGTGAAACAGAGCGGGCATGAATAGAGAGGGAGAGAGAGAGAGAGAGAGAGAGAGAGAGAGAGAGAGAGAGAGCTTTATTCATGCCTGTCCCATAAAGTGGAGATATATGAAAGAGGGCCTCTAAATGCTTTTCTGTTACACTCTCTTTGATATCTGTGTGTGTGTTTTTGACTTCATAATGACCTTGTGGTAATAGTGCAATGGATGGTTATTTTCATGTCGGTGTGTGTGTGTGTGTGTGTGTGTGAGTGTGCGTGTGTCACCTACCTGTAATCAGTAGCGTTCAGTTCCTAGACACACTCAACCTACACGTACAATTACAACACATATGGTCACCACATGTGGTGACCATATGTGGCAGCTGTGTGTGCGAGAGTGTGTGTGAGAGAGAGTGTGTGTGTGTGTGTGTGTGAGGTCACCACCCCTTGAACATAACAAATAAATAAAAATACTGCAGGTGGATGGGATGTTCAGTACATGAACTCAACACACACACTGAAGTTACACAATGAAGTCATTTCGCCCGTATTAAACTCTGGCTAAAGACTTAAAGACTGACTGGACTTTTTTCACACAAGGTCTCTTAAATGAACCATGAGTTCAGATTTTACACTGCGAGTTTCAGACTGAACACCAGTAGACGAGCTGGTCTTCACTCCAGCTGTTGTTGGATTTTCAGCTCCATGTCTATATAGAAGCCGTGTTAACTTCCGTTCCACCAGCTTACATTCTTGTTTGTTTTTGTTGACATTTACTTCCGTCTGAATCATGTTCCATAAAAAGGAGCATCTCCTGTTGAACTGGAAGGTAATATCTGAACTTAATTTATTAGAATTGAAACCAAGATAAAACTAAATCATTTTGTAACTCTCGAGCCAGAGATGCCCCATCAGAACCTCATCTGACTCATCAGGTAGAGGATGAACCTGTCTTTGGTCATTGCTTCTGGTTTCTGAAACTAAACAACGATAAAAGATGGTGGCTGTTCTAGTGATGAAGTCAAAGTTCTCCTAAACTATCCAGCTCTTTAACATCTACTTTTGATTGTTGATCAAAGGATTTGGTTGTTTTAAGAGTTGGTAAGTCACGTTTCTGTCAGAATGACATCATGTAACGGATTGTTTCCTTTCCAAACTCACAGTGAAAACTGAGCTTATGAGTTGTAGGTTAGTTTATGGGGCTCCTGGTGATTGTTACCAGACGCGACAGCGTGTTACTGTTATTGTTTTCATCTTGTGAGTCTGTGTGTGATTGTCATCATGGCGTAATGTGCTCTTTGAGAGACCTTCTGTAACGGGAACTACCACAGAAGCAGTTTTGAGTACATTGCCAGATGTCTGTGGACAGTGCAAGTCAAAATGAATGTCGAATTTGTAGAGGGGTGTGGACTGCAAGGGCACCGAACTACACGGGAAGGAAATGATACACACATAGCCCAATTTGACGTCGTGGCTGGTGTGATCCCATCAAAACATGATCTCTAGTTTTATCTGTTTAGAATAATCATGTCTGAAAATGAAAGTGGTAATGATTTACCTGTGGATGCTCAGTCAATAGTTACTTCCTCCTTAACCTGTTGTGTTATCAGCTGATGGGCTTAGCAGTTTACAACAGCATCGCTCTGGACATCCACTTCCCCCTCTACTGTTACAGGTACGTGTGTGTGTGTGTGTGTGTTGAGTGTTTTTACTTTTGCTGTGTAAGCTGTGTCACCTCTAATCACCACATCAAAACAATAGGAGTGCTTCTGTTTTGGCCTCTGTACAGTCGCAGTGTTATTAGAATCAGGTTCACATATAAGGAATTTGCTTTGCACAACAATCAACGTGGCAAGAAAAAATAAAAGTAAGAGCAAGTTTAGAAAAAGTCAAGATTAGAGAAAAAAAATCAAAATGTTCAAAAATATGAAAGATATAGCTGCTGTAGAAATCTTTATGTGTCCCCTGACAGGAAGCTCCTCACTCCACCCAATGTACCGTGTGACCAAAACGCCCTTGTCGGCATGGCAAATACCACCCTGGAGGACCTGCAGCAGATCATGCCGGTATGTGTCTCAGCTTGACATGTCAGTAGTTTGAGTTCCAGACAGCGTTCAAAAATGTGTTTTGAAAGTGTGATGAGATGATATGACCTGAAATGTAAGACTAAGGTTTAATTGGAGGGTACATTTGCTATGAATCAAATGTGCTCTATGTGCTCTATTTATTGTTTTGCTTGTTGATGCATATTTTATTTGGGCAGTAGAAACCACCAAAACTTTAAAAGAAAATTCACCCACAGCTCATTTACCTGCACATTTGTTTACTATCTACTTCTTGCAGTTCTCTGTGCTGTCACTAGAGGGAGCCAGAGTGCAACTTTTCATCTAAACCCTAAATGATAAAGCTAAACCCTTAATGATTTACAAAGTCTAAATTTAACTTCATATGTTGCTGTCAGAATGAAGTCAAGTCTCCCACCAGATAGTATATTCAGTTTTGTTAACTTTGAATCAACCTTGACAGTACTTTTTCAACTGTACATTCTTTTAAGTATTTTTAAGCATGCCTTTTTGAAGATTTTTTTCAGAGTTTATGAGATTAAATTTATGTATTTTTCTCTAATTAGTGTGCTCACCTTCAGCTATGCAATCTCATACATTTTTATTATTATTATTATTTCACGGTATTCTTTGTGAGTGAATTAGCTCCAAATGTTGAGTTAAACCCACTATAGTTTTTTTTCCCCACAGAGTATTTGTTGAGGTAAAGTTCACATTTAACAATTTATAGATGTAACAAAGAGTTAGAAAGTTTAGTTGAATTGTTGAGAGTTTCTACAGTTCACTTCCCTCTGTTCCTCTCTCTGCATACATTTTTATTTCACATCATGTACGTTTCAGGGACACAGACACAGGCAGAGTGCTTTGCGTTTTGATTTGATAGTTAAGCAAACTGTGCATCTGAAAGAGAGGTTTGGGAACACATTTGGGATTATACTAGTCCAGTGCCTGTCTGGAACAGAAGTGCTGCTTGCATACATGCATACATACAAAGACACAGACAGATAAACAGAGATTCCTTTCCATTATTGTAAGATGATACTGCTACAGCGACACTTATTGGCCAAATGGCACATCATCTGTCATTGACACCCTGACATCATATCGTCACAATAGCAAAAAGTGTTGGCGATATGACAATTGCTGAAAATATGTGGGAGGAGTAGGAAAAGAAATGTGGACACAATTCAAAATAGCAGAAAATGTTGATGCAACTGGGCATTGCTTATACAGATGGATTTGTCTGGACTCACATTACCTGGGAGACTTGCTGTTCAAAAGTTGGAGGCCGAAAAGTGAAGTTGTCAGAAGAGCATGTGTTTGAAAAGCTGTTTCATACCTAACATGAAGTAGATTTTGAGAAGCTTGATCAAAACCAAAATCTTTCCAGCTCTTCATTGGTCTGAAAGCTGTTCTCCTCATTAGATACCTCTCTTGTAAAGAGACAAAGTCTATACACTGAAAACATGAGGTGCTCTTGGATTTCTGAGAGCAGACACTTATTCTCATGTGCTCAGGTGTTCTGGGACTGAATCTAGTAACCTGTTAATCCCATCACTGTATTTTGTTGTTCCAAAAGATTTTTTTTTTTCCGTTGCAGGAGCTGGCTCATGGTTTGGGAGAGCTGCTGAGCTACGAGGGGAATGTAGAGGAGGACTTCTACCTCATGTTCCAGGTATCAAGATACATTTAAAGCTTGGGTAGGAGGTTCATGATGAACGGGCCATTTGAATTTGGCAATAGCAAAAGAAAGAGTTTGTCTGCCCCATGTATTTTTACTTGATTTTAATGCATAAAAGCATACAAATGGTCACAAGAATGTCACTTATATGAGGGAAGCCAAGAAGGAATAAAATAATCTTAATCTCTGTTGTCACCTCATCAAGGTTTCAGTTTCGCATTACCAGTATGCTTGATAAACTCTTTAACGAATCATTACTAATTTGCCAGGTTTTTATTTTTATTTTATAACCACTGTTCTTAATGATTTGAGAAAAGTCGGAGTCAATCCTCATGGCACTTTGTTAAAAGTCAGGGCGCACACACACACCACAGATGTCACAATTACAGTGTCTCGGCACGTCTGACGGTGCTGACAGACTGCTGTGACTGCTGTTACTGCTGCGTGATATTAATAAAGTTAATTCTAGACCAGAAGGTAATCTGGATCAGTCCCACTTACATCATTCAGCAGATTTATTTAATCATAAAAATGTAGGTTTTCGGTAAGCAGGAACTGTTTGGTTCCAAATATTATACTTATTCTAACAAAAACATTGATAGGATAAATTAACCAGGATTTGGGCGAGGCATCAAAATGAGTACTGTTAGGATCTCTAAACAATATTCAGAGCATTATTACAGCAGCAAACAACTATTGTCCATGTACAGATATGGTGGAGAAATGTCTACCTCAGCAGAGAATGGAGTCACTCTCACTCTGTGTGTATTGTAATCCAAGCATCTCCTTGCTTTGCTGTAATAGCCTGGCTGGGGGTGCGTGCCTTTTAGTGCATGTTAGTGCACGTGAACGTACCCGAGCTAGCGGGTACGGGCGCCGCTCTTCACTGCACTCAGTGCTGTTACAGCACCGTAGATAGCACCGTCCCGAGCAATGCCGTCTTTGTGGAAGTGTATAGCACCCACCCTCCGATTCCCTCTCACGTGAACACTGTCAGCGCTGTCACCACTGATGCTGCTGTTTGCACTGATGCTGCTGTTTGCACTGATGCTGCTGTTTGCACTGTTTGCAGTGTTAGCTGCCAGCCGCCGGCTCAGCAGTCGCCATGTTCAGAGCCGGGTGGAGGCAATAGATATGATCTGAACTCTGTATTGATGTAAACAAGCACTGCAGACTCAATTGACTGCAAAAGTGCCCCAAACATGTTCAACTTCCTGGTTAGATATGTGTACTGATTATCAGCTACAGACCAGTACAGGAATGCTGACCAACTGCTCACTTTAACCGCTTGAAACTAAATGCACAATGATTATCTGTGCGTTCTACGGTCACCTGTAAATAAGAGTCATTGTGTTTTTGTGATCTTAGAAAGAGCTGTTTCTATAGACATAGGGAGCGGCTCCTCTTCACGGAGTCCAACATGCTGCACCACCATGTTTCTACAGTAGCCCAGAACGGACAAACCGAACGCTGGCTCTAGATAGGGACATTCCTGTTATTGCGTACGCCTCCGTAGTTCTACGGCATGCTTGGCCCACAAGAGAAGTTTCAGTTGGTTGCAGTCTGCAACCTCACTGCTGAATCCTACACACTGGACCTTTGAAAAGTTCCTCATACTTTTTTTTTACATTACATGACATCAGCATGTTTTATGACGCAGGCTTGTCCGACCAGGCTGCTCTCTGCCTCTGAGCGTAGCAACCAGATATAATGGAACATTTTATGGTGCAGCTGGGGTTATACATGAAGCTGGAACATATATGAGAAGAAACATTATGTTAAAGCTTGAATGGAGGTGTTATTTTTACCCACAGTGTAAGCTGACTGTGAGCTATATGCTGGTCACAGTCACGCCACTGTGGAACAGATAAACCCACTGACCTGCAGTGAGCTGGATCACTCTCTGTCATTTCTCTCACTCACTGTCTCCTTACTTTTTGTGTATGTTTGTTCATCAATGTGTCTCTTTTATATATACCCCTCTATTTTTTGCACACATATTAGTTTTGTACTGCTGTACTTGCAGAAGCCCTCACTAGATACTTTATTCCCTTTAGCTGCTCACCATAACCTTAACCTAATTATAACCCTAAATCCAGACTTTATTTACGTATATAGCACGTTGACACACATTTGGGCAAATCAAGTTATATTCAGGTTATATTAGTATAGCCCAATGTCACACATTTTCTTCAAGGAGCTTTACAATCCGTACAGTACAGAAAAAACTCTGCCCATAGATCCTCGCTGTTAAACCTATAACATGGAGAAAAAATGAGAAACCCCAGTAAGAGCAACAGTGGAGAGATCCCTCTCCCTGGACGGACAGACGTGAAATCAAGATGAACAAATTATAGATAGAAACCTACAATCAGTTTTAAATATGAAGCTAGAGCACATTTAATGCTCAAACACATCATAACTGGTTTATTTAATCCTACATTAATAATTCTGCAAAAACCAGGCATCAACCTCCGGCTCTGAAAAACTGAAGTGCCTTAGTTCCTTAAACTTGCATTCTCTCTAATGGCCAGCAGGGGGCGACTCCTCTGGTGCAAAAAGAAGTCTGATTGTATGGAAGTCTATGAGAAAATTACCCCACTTTTCACTTAATTTATTACCTCAATAAACATTGTAAACACGAGTTTAAGGTCTCAATCGCTAGTTATAGTCTTCTTCAGTCTGGTTTTAATTTAGTAAATTATGGTCCATTTAGAGTCAAATAGATGATAAAACAGGATATGCTTTGGGGCGTGGCTACGTTGTGATTGACAGGTAGCTACCATATTTAACCGGTCTGGGAGTTGTCTGTGTTTTCAACTTACGACTTTAACCCTTTAACAAGGTTGTACTTAGCTCCATCCTCTCTTGTCACTTCTGGTTCAGAACTCCATATTGCTCCTGATGGTCAGGTCACCTCCCATGGTAGCCTGCTGCCATTGGTTCGTGTATTAAGGCAAATGTATATTACATCGCTTTGGACAAAAGCACAATATAAATGCAGCCAATTACTATTGTTATATATAAGTTAAACGATAAAAGTATTCGATCAAGTTCCTAATCCCCTACGTGACATACTTTTTGTGTGTGTTTTGCAGGTCTTCCAGGAGGAAATGGGCGTGGTTAAATCCCACAACCTGAAGGCTGGAGGAGACAAAATCCCCGTCACCAAGCAGAACAGGAAGGGTGAGTCCTCACTGAGATTCTCAGCAATGAGCGTGTTTCTTGCTCATTGGCACACAGACCACCGGCTCACCAATGCAATCAAGAGCAGATGGTCCAAACAGACACAAAGTTCTACTGACAAACATGGTAATTGCTTAAATCTGAGACCAGCTGTACCTTTTTTCTTCTTCAAGTTTAAAATATCAACACATCTCAATACAAATGACGATCCTGAGACTATCTTCATTGCCTGTCTATTACACTGTAATACAGTGGTCTCTCACCCATGAAGTACTGTTCTGTGGAAAATCACCCTGAAACTACAAAAGTGAGGGGCCAAAAAATATGATTTTGAAAAGCTTCTCCCCGATGGAAATTATTCCCCCGCTTGTTCAAGACAGTGGCAGCCACCCACTCTCTTCTTGATGCCACTTTGTCTGTACAGTGTGTCCAGTACCGTGTAATCCACAGCAACTGTTTTAATCCTCATGTGCTGTTTGACTGCACAGAACGCAGAAACCTACCTCAGCTCAAAAGCTTCTTTGTTCTTTTTAAGAGGACGGAGTCGAGCTGAGAACGTCAACTTTGTTCCTCTCATTAACCCTCATTTTCCAGGTCCAGCTCTGTGCCCAATGTCCCTCTGTGTGTTAAACTGATGGGCCATGACTGGAGGGTGAAAGTGTAAATGTTTGTAATGGAATATTGAAAATCACTCTGTTCCTTCTTTCTCCACAGAGTATGTCCAGCTCTACATCGACTTCCTGCTAAATAAATCCATCTATAAACAGTTTGCTGCCTTCTACCACGGCTTCCACAGTGTGTGTGCCTCTGACGCGCTCATGGTGAGTCCACAGTGTGTTAAACAAATATCACACGCAAACTTTCCATTTGTCAGTCCGTCCAGTTTCTCATTGCAGCCAAAAATGCTTCTCAGTATATGTCAGTGGCATGCACTTGTTGACATTGCCTGACATTCAATTTGAAGATGCAATGGCATCCGTGTACAGTAGCAGTAGGCTCCCTTCGGGGCAGCATCACAAACAACACAGGTAACAAGTCATGGCAAAACTGGCTTTCCACATCCTTGGAGAGAGCAGCATGAGACTGGAACCGCCTGTGTTTGAATATCACTGCCGTATTGTTGGTTATGACAGCGTTATCAGTAGATGTCTATATACTTAGTAACAATAAATTGGTTATGCGTGACACCAAGCTGCAAGGTATTTTATTTTAAATGCTGTGTCTTTGAGTCAAAGCGGAAAGTGTATTTTCCAACTGTAAACTGTCACGCTCAATACATTTTAGGCACATTTTTGATCCTGAATGACCGGTATTGGTCTCAGAAATCTAGTATCTTTTGAGTTCAAGTCAGAATGAACAGTGATGGTCACCGACTGGAGAGGATTTGATATTCACTCCTTTACTCCCTCACATCATTTATAGTGTATCCCACTGTATCAACCCTCTCTAAAACAGTGATGTTGCATCAGTCAAAAATATAAAATGTGGTGTATTCATTTTTAGGTCTCATTATTTTATTAATATCTGAAGAGACGTCATTGCATCTTTTCTAGAATAGATATTGAAATAAACCAACTCTCTCTTTGTACTGAACGGAAACACATCTGCTAAATGAATTCAGTGGACTTCATCAGTCTGGTTTAGACAAAATAAACTGTGAATATAAATTACCTGGAACATTTGGACCATGCCGGTAATGACGCATATCTGTTCCTGTTTAGCAACAGTGAGAATTTTCATTTGGTGAGACACTGTTTTCTTTTAGTAGGAAGTTACAGCACACACATTTGTGAATCTTAACCTTTACATACATTTTCCTTCATCGTGGACAAAAACATTTGGCCAAAAATGGAGCTCAGGCAGTAAACTCTGTTTGTTGTCATCCTTTTATCCCTGATAAAAAGCTGCCCATGTTGTTGTTTATTGAACTCTGGGGGCCCTGATGAGGGTCAAAGATCCCAGAGGGACTCAAATGTTATATTCAGGTTTTATTTGTATAGCCCAATGTCACACATTTTCTTCAAGGAGCTTTACAATCCGTACAGTACAGAAAAAACTCTGCCCATAGATCCTCGCTGTTAAACCTATAACATGGAGAAAAAATGAGAAACCCCAGTAAGAGCAACAGTGGAGAGATCCCTCTCCCTGGACGGACAGACATGAAATCAAGATGAACAAATTATAGATAGAAACCTACAATCAGTTTTAAATATGAAGCTGAGGGTCAAAGAGGGTCAAAGATCCCAGAGGGACTCAAATGTACACAGTATAAAAATCCCCAACATGCATCCTGTCCGCAAATATAATAATAATTCAATTGATCACATAGAGTTTTCATGTGACTTGGCTTGTTTTTGTTTGTTTTTTGGTATTTTTTGGGGATCTATAATCTCTTTAAAGTCTATAAATAAGATTTATTGCAATCAGTGTGTTAAATACAGAGAGTCTCAGGAGGTCCTAGACCCCTTGATTGACACTTGAGACCCCCTGAAAGCCTCAACAGGTATATAATATATATATATATATATATATACAGTATATATTTGTCACTTACGATTGTCACTAACATGTATCTTAAGAGCTTACTATGTCCAGCAAGATTCATTATTAAAATTGCAAAACAATTATTTATAAATATGTATCAAGTAAAATTGTGTGTGCTGTGTGGATTTTGTAGCAGATGTATATTACGATGTATATATTTATTTATTATTTATTGCTTCCTTTTTATAAATTTGCTTTTTATTTGACTTGTAGTAGCACCTTTAAAGAACACCTACATTATTTATATGTAAGTTAAATGTGAAAAATACAAATTACAACTATGGATTAGTATTATTGGTAGTGTGAGGAATTTAAGTTTAAAAGCGCTCCTAGCAATATGTTTACTTGTAGAAGGTTTAAACTAAAAGGAGAGTTACTGAAGTTATTGTGCACTGTGAGAGAAGCCAGAGAATTTATGATGCTGCCATAAAAGGTAATACAAATCAGAGAGAGGGGGACGTTAATGAAGAGTTTCTGAGCACAGCCTTCAAGAAGGGGGGAGGAATTGGTCAAGGAAGTGGCCAACTGAAGTCCGAAGGGTTCAGCCAATCACTGAGCTGATCGATGGGCTAAGGAATGTGTAGTATGAGATATTTCAGAGACTTTGGAGGGACAAAGATACTGTGAATCCCCAGAGATGATCAGACCTCTTCTGGACCATGGGGCGGACACACCAGTCTGTCATGTGGTGCGGATTGGGCCTCTATTTCATGAAATATATATATTTGTTTTGTAATTCATAGTGTGATTCAGTTTTAGCTTCTGTTAATTATTAAATACTTTCGATTTAAACTTCAACCAGCTGATTAGGCCTTATCTTGCTGACGGATCAGGAGCAAAGAGGGGGGGCTTTTTCATAACATTTTGAACATAACAGTAGTCGTGGTGAAATTGACTTTAACACAACAAAGACTGCTAAATAAAGACCAGAGACATCTTTTGGGTCCTGGCCCACATAGTTTATAGTTGAAGGTCGAACAGTCAAGTTGGCGGTGATCTATGCACGACTGTGTGCACGTTGTTTTTAACAGGTCACACCTCCGATCTGCTCGGCAGCAGAGGGAACACAGTGAAATAAAGGCAGACTGCAGATAAGACGGAAAAATTGGCAGTTTGACTCAATCCATCAGCTGAGAGCCTGAATCTGGGTCAGAGAAGGGACAGCCTGATCTGAACTGCTGAGACTAAAACAGAGAGGACAAGTCTCACTCGCAGCTGTGCAGATAATAACTAACCTGCTTTGACCTGCCTTCTCTTCCCCCCACACTTTGGAAAGACAACTTTCCTAAGTCCTGTTTGCATTTGAAGTTGATCATTAATTTGAAGACATTGAAGCTAACATTGAGGCTCAAAATAAATCAATGTAAATATACACACATCACTCTTAACTTTAAGTAGCTACCTTTTTATATTTGCATGACATCATTTATGTGTGTGTGTGTGTGTGTGTGTGTGTGTGTGTGTGTGTGTGTGTGTGTGTGTGTGTGCGCACACTGCTCTTTGGCTTACATGTCACTGTTGTTTTATTTTTTGTGTCTGGATGTCTCTTCAGTTTGCATTCTGTCATGTCCACATGGTCTGACAGGATGTGATGAGGCATGCCTGTCGTTTATTCGTGGGTGTGGTTGTGACACACAGCTGTGGAGTTTTTGGCTGTTAGATCTAATGATCTTGGTCAGGCAGCAACACCAAGGTCATACTGGGTGTTAGGTGCGTCTGTCTTCTGGTTTTCCACAAAAGAATGCTTCATGGGTGAGAGACTACTGTAATACGGGTTACTGGACGGGCCCTGAAGATGGTCTCAGGTCCAGCTCATTTCCTTCACTGTAAGTTTGAACTTCCAGAAGATACAAATTTTTCCGATGTAAAATGAACCATCTTTGTACCAAGATGTGTTGGTATTTTAAATGTTAAAATGGTGAAAGGTGCAGCTGGTCTCAAATATTTCATCTCTCAGTTCTGTCAGAGCAACTACTGAACTTGTGAATATACTATATGTACCACTAAATAGCACTATATAATCATCAGTGTATTTTACATGTGTTATTTGCTGTTAAAAACGTGTCCAATCTATGTTTATACTTAGCTGATTCCTCCTGTGTGCAGATGTCCCCACCAAGTTAGACATTAGGTTGTAAATTGTGCGGCTAACAAAATCTATAATGCACTTTCACTTCTTAATGGTTGTAAATAAAAAACAAATGTCACTCCTGCAAACCCCCATGAAGATGACTTTTTGACAGTTTGGCACTTTTTTTATTATCAGCTGCTCTGATGAAGCAGAACTTCCTGTTGCCTCGGCTGATTTACCTGTTGTGTCGCTCTTGCATGATATTTTCTTACACCGATCGATTGTTGCTTTAGACCGCGGTCGTGTTTCAGAGGAAATTCTGATCTATAGTCTGATGTTGCGTCCGTCCAGCTGATTTAATAACATGCTCCAGCCAAGGACGCACACTGCGTCATACTACACTATAACACATGCACTTATTTTATGTTATTTTACACAACATTGCATTATTTTATGTTGCATTGTTTTTGTATGGAACATTAAGTTGTTTTCTGTAATGTTATGTTCCGTAAATTTTTCTGTTGTGTCATTTTACGTTGTCTAATTATTGTTACATGAGATAATGACAACACTTACGAACACACGTTTGAAGATGTGTGTGGTCCCAGCAAGGGTGTAGGAAGTAGGGGTTAGGATGTGGGGAAAGGGCCCCTCCAGTATACGCACCTGGCTCTAGTCACAATGTTTGTTATTGCAGTAGTATACTTTATTTATTTGTTTTAATGACATGTGAAAAGGCTTTTGAGGTGTTTGCTGTTTGTACATTTTGAAAATATCAATCTAAAAAATTTGGTCGAAATTGAATTGTACTCCCAATCTGTATTCACACACATTCTGTCAGTAGGGTGTATTTATTATTTTTCTCTTGTTCTTGCAGTTGCTGCGGCCGGAGGAGGTGGAGATGTTGGTGTGCGGGAGTCCAGAGCTCGACATGAGCGCTCTGCAGAAAGCCGCTCAGTATGAAGGATACAGCAAGACCGAGACCACCGTACGGTAAGAGGCCTGTACTTCCTATTTAGTGACGGCAGCCAGCTCACAACTCACTCACTGCTCGTAGAGTGAGTCAAACCACCTCACACCTCCTTTCAATAGACTCCAATACACACATTTACAAAACCTTTTCTTCTATTGGACAGACTGATCCCACTGTGTGGTACAGGTTAAGTCGCTGTCTAACAGATGTTTGGTAGTGAGGACAGTCTGTTTATTAATTTGTTTTAAACATTTTTCTTGAATTCAATTAGTGCGATTACAAACAAGGGGTCACCACTCCAGAAAAATAAATACAGTTTTTGAAGTGTTCAGAAAGGTGGCCCAGGTATCATGAATCTGAGCAAATTTCATATAAACAAAGTATGCAAATCAAAAATATTGGTGATACTCGGCTCCACTGTCTTGCATTGCTGCTTGAGACTGGAAAAAAATAATTGTGGCCCGTTTTGATTTTTCTACTCAAGTAAAAGTCAGTGATGGATGACTAATGTTTAGCCTTTGGTTTAAGCTGCAAATGTTTGCATGCAAGGCATTCACTTTGTAGCAGGAAATAGCTCTCTCTCTCTCTCTCTCTCTCTCTCTCTCTCTCTCTCTCTCTCTCTATTACAAACACGCACACACACAGAGATGCGCTTTTGCAGTATGGGAGGAAGACGAGCCAACACTTGTCAGCCTCAGATAATGTTAATCAGCACGGTGCTGAAAGCTGACAACAAGCAGCTGCAGACTTGTTGCACAACTTCAATACTGAGTGCGTGTGTGTGCTTGTTTGTGTTTGTCTACCGGTCACCTGTTTGTTTCTCATCCTATTATTTGTAAAACTATTTGCATGCAAACATCCTGGTTGTGGAAAGGTTTTCCTTGTTCACAGTACCATCTTCCCACAAACATCCTGGTTGTGGAAAGGTTTTCCTTGTTCACAGTACCATCTTCCATTTCACTGTTTACAAAAAGCACATTTGTTTTGAAATGAGAAACTCCAGCTCCAGGTCACACTGGAGGTCAAAACGCCATGTGCCTGCAGCTCTCACCCAGGTCACACTGAGGCCTCCTATCAGCTAATGCAATGCACATTTTGTGTGTTGCATCAGGTGTTTCTGGGATGTGGTGTTGTCCTTCCCTCTGGAGCTACAGAAGAAGCTCCTCCACTTCGCCACAGGAAGTGACCGCGTTCCCGTCGGAGGAATGGCCGACTTAAACTTCAAAATCTCCAAGATCGACGTTCCAACGGACTGGTATGGTTCCAGAAGTTTAGACCACAACTCAGTTTTGTCACTGACAACTTTGAATGTACATTAAAAGAATCTGTTAACACAGTGGCCCTGAAAGATACTGGAAATGTATCTCTTACTTTCTTATACACTGAACACAACTGTTTTTGTCATAAATACTTTCACACAGAACATGAATATTACGCGGTTAAAATCAATGTACTTTTTTTCCTTAGCGAGTGCTATTTTTCCGAGCTTTCACTCTATTTAAAGTACAAATCTATTTAAAGGTTTTATTGAAAAGGGGTATTACGATTTTCGCAAATTTGCGTCGCTTCCGGTATGAATAGTTTTATTCACATGCAAGTATTTCACGTTTTTGTGTTGTTTATATTTGTCACGCCCCCTGTGTGTTAAAGGCCTTTACACATAACTTTTAATGTCATACACACAACCTTTGGACGACAGAATGTGACAAAAAGTCATGACAAACCTTCCAGGACTCAAATACCTTTCTGTGTCCTCCCTTTGATTGTATTATCTGAAATCAAACTGAAGCAGATATCTGTGTGTTGCCTGTGTTGCCTCACCGGTATCTGCAGATATGTTTTGACACGTCAACTGTTCTCTTTCTTCTCTGTGGATTGTACTGAAGTGATTGTTATCACAAACTGCAGGAGATAAAATCCACCGTCGAACTTTAACAGCAAGTTCCCTGAATCTAGGTCACTGAATCTAGGTCAGGGAAGGGGCGAGCGGCCCCACCGTATTTCTTTTATGCCCACACACACACACACACACACACACACACACATGTTTGTCTTTCTATCCCTATGAGGACTGTCATGTACATAATGCATTCCGTAGCCCCTAAACCATCACAAACGTCTTACTTTGACCAGGCTTTCTTTTTTTTATTACTGATTTGTGGTTAAAATAACTTTGAGGTTGAGGTTTCAACATACATCAAAGTTATGATTTTAATAACTAATTTCCCTCTCCCTCTGTTTTTCTCTCTGCAGGTTGCCGATCTCTCACACCTGTTTTAATCAGATCTGTTTGCCTCCTTATCGAACCAGGAAGGAGCTCAAGCACAAACTCACCATCGCCATCTCCAACGCTGAAGGCTTCGGCCTGGAGTGACCAGCCTGTACGCACACACACACACATGTACACGCACACTAACACATACACAAACACAGGTAGACTATTAGCGACGTTAGCTATCTGTCACAACTACCACAACACACACATTATGTGGTTGTGGATTAGACTTTGGAGAAAACTGGATTGTCAACAAATGAGTTCTGACGTCAAAAAATAATATTGACTGAAATAGTGTTTGTATTGTTATTTTGTTGGACTCGTCAATTTGCTAATGTTGTGCTTTGTTAATTTGCATCAGAATCGGTAGGAGCTTCTCCCTGCAACAGCTACAGAGAAACACTAGAAATCCTTTTATTTGCACATGGACTGTGTTGGCTCTAATTTAAGACAACACTGATTGAAGACAATGATATTTTAGATTTTCACACGTCAGTAATGTTATTTAAAAGAACACGTCAGCCTCCCGGAAACCTAACTAGTCAAGTCATAGTTACAGTTTCATTAATTAAGTTTTAAATATTTCTGGTCCCATACCATTGAAAACATAATCATATGCTCTAGAAACCTTGTGTCAACAGAACGGTAAACTTCTCTTGAATTGTAATAGGATGCTGATTTGCTCAGGTAATTCTTTTTTGGGTATTCTCCCACCATTGGCATTTACTTTTGTGACACTCCGTTCAATGAGCCTCTACTTTATGGTCCAGAGTAAACTGAGAGAACATCTCCATTAAGCCGGTTAAATTGATTTGAACAGAAAATCCGGCTTCAAAAGACAAAATACTCAAAGGACATGGATTCAATGATTGTGGGGTAAAGAATTAAAAGGGAAGGAAGTATTTTTATGACACAGCAATGAGTATGCTTTGGTGACTTTTCAAATATATGAAGGCATAGGAAATATGTTTCATATCATTTAGCTTTGTTTGCAGCACACTGTCAGGATATAAAGCTTTGCTGGGAGAACAATGCTATTGTTTTTCATGAGATATAGATTGTCTTTTGAAGTTTTGTTATTGTTGTTTTTTTGACATTGCTGCCTGTTCTATTGAACAAAAGGCTGCAGCAGAATTGTTTTAATTTTGTTTTAAATGTTGTAATATTGTGATACTGTTGATCCAGAACTGTTGATTGACAACTCTGTGTTTGTTTCGCTTCTCTTATGTTGTTCTGTTGTTTCGTGGCTCTAACCAGGCTGAGAGATGACCAGCAAACTGCAGCCAGAAGCTGGTAGATGTTGACTGCTAGTTGAGTATCGTACAGAGGATGAAGCAGGATGGAAAAAGAAGCCATCTTCTGTGTGTCCTGTTCTGTTATTAGCATGTACTGTAGGTGAATAGTCAGACTGGTTATTTGAGTATTGAGATGTTTCAGTGATTGTGGCTAAGTACTTACTGGTTATTACAGCAGACTACAATCACAGTCCTGCAAAGCAACTTCAGTTAAGCACCTATTTCTGGTGTTCAGTGCTCTGAACCAAACCAGGTTTCTCGTTTACATGACATTTCAAAAATAAGCTGATAGGAGAAAGCGGACTGTAACATGGTATTAAGTGCCGATAAACAAGTTTAATGTGAAATAGCTTCAGTGGCTTACACAGCATTGGACGTCATCAAAAACTTTGATGGAATCGTTAAGTAAAGCACTGAGGATCTGCTTCTATTGGATAATTTGTGCTTGACAAAATGCATCGAAGATCCGATTAAATGGAGACCACAAGTGCAGCTTTCTTTAACTTGTTTGGCTTTCGTGCACCTTGTCTGGAGCTGAGCAGTGCTGGTTGTAAACACTACGTATGGTTGCCATGCAAGATGTCTAAGGTCCTAACGACTAACTGACAAAAGAGCCCAGAAGTTACCAAGCAACAGTCGAGCAGCTCACATCAGTCTAATGTGGGTCCCTCCTTATACAACAGTGCATCCTTTATATTAAGTTCAGTGCAACAGCAGGAGGGGGTTCGAGAAGGACCTCATACCACATTCGCACCTCGCCGGACTTATTGTAGAAACGAGCAGCTGATTGGGAGAAAATGCCAGCATCCTTGTGCTGAATACTAAAAGGACACATTTTTTGGCCTTTAAATGGGAAGGAATGCATTCTTGGTCAAGCGAGAAAAGTTGTTTTTCGAGATGTTAATCTGACCCAGGTCTGTTGTTTGTAAATGGGACCAAACTGTGTCAGGTTATACAGTGGGATGGCGGTTTGAGAATAGTTCAAACTGATCCAAAGAATTTGTTGAGATGTAATTATTTTCACTTGTCAGATGTTTGTAAGCACGTAAAAAGTAGAGAATGGTCATGTATTTCTTATGTTTTTTTTGTTTAATTATTATTATTTAACAAATATAAACCTTCAGGTTTATCAGTATCTGTTCAATGTTGTGTACATTTAGTTCTGTTAGGTTTTACCACGAGTCACAGCAGTTCTCCTTAGTGAATGACCATACTGTACATATGCTTCTCTGTTGCCCAAGTCTCATATAATGTCTGTATATAGTGCAGCATTTCCACAAGTATGTACAGTAAAAAGTGGACGAGGGGTCATCACTCTCTACGAAAAGATTTGCGGACTATGCTTGTTTTTGTTAGGGACACCTCCCTGTGAATTCATGCACATTCACACTGGGAACTGCACAGAACAACCAGTCCTCTGTCACTGGGCAGTTGAATGGTAATGGTTCAGACTTAAGTTGGAATAGGTTATATACATAGTGCATCCACTTGTTTTTGCATTTTATGTTCAATTTCCCCTCATCAGCAAAAACAGGATATTAGAATAATTTGCTATTTTAAAAGAAAGCAAAAAACTGATATATCACTTTGACACAAGTATTCAGACCCTTTTCCACTTGAAATTTAGTTCAGGTACTTCAAATTTCTCCACCTTGATTGGAGTCCACCTGTGGTAAATTCAACTGATTGGACATGATTTTGAAAGGCACACACCTGGCTATATAAGGTCTCACAACTGACACATCAGAGCAGAAACCAAGCCATTAGGTGGACGCTATTACTGGCAGAGCTCAGAGACGGGGTTTTGTTGTGTCACAGCCCTGGGGAAGCCTACAAAAATAATGTCTGCTGCATTAGAAGTTCCTGAGAGCACAGCGGCCCCCATAATTCTTAAATGGTAGAAGTTTGGAACACGACTCTTCCTAGAGTTTGAAGACGCCTTTTGCAAAAAAGCATCCAACAGTCATGTCTGGAGGAAACCAGACACCGCTCATCACCTGCATAAGAGATCGTTTTCACAGCAGCTATTTTGAAATGAAATAGATCACAAGTGTATCCTGCTATAGGGGTGTTTTTCAGCAGTCAGAGTTGAGGGAAAGCTGAAATGAGCAAAGTACACAGATATCGTTCGCTAGCAACCTGGTACGGCAACCACATGTCACTCAAAGCGGTCACGCCCTCAATTATGTCTAACTTTAAGTCTTATCTTAGATAAGTTAAAAAAACAGTCTGTACCAGGCTGTAAATGTTCATCTCTGCTTTAAAGTTTGGGCATTTTAACACATGTTTTACTCGTTTTTGAAGCCAGCCTCAAGTGGCCAATCGAAGAACTGCAACTGTTTTTTGCACTTCCATGTTGGCTTCATTTCTTAGTGCCGGAGGTTGCCGCTTAACACGATTATCACTCCTCTCTTTTGATGTTAACACCAGTTAATGCTCAATGCTTTTCTCAGGCTCTTTTTTTTTTCTGTCTCTCTTTGGTGGTGAGGTGGCCGACTTTGAGGCCGGGAACAAGGGATCTTATCGTTTATTAAACAAACAGAAATATGTAGGCCATGGTCAGCGCCGCTTGGTCACTTAGTAACCTGCCAACAGTCCACCATTATGTTTTTTTAATAGGAGAGCAGTCTGGTTGGCTGACTAACTGGGGCGACCGTGGCTCACTGGCTTAAGAGGGTTGTCTGGTAACTGCAGGGTCAATGGTTTGATCCTCGACTGGGACGTGTCACGTGTCCCTGAGCAAGACACTGAACCCCCGGGTGCCTGTCATTGGCTCTCTATATACAGGGATGGGTCAAATGCAGAAGTCAAATTTTGTGTATATGTATATGACAATAAAAAGGGTTTCTATTCTAAGCAAATTTGATCCTATTAATTTTTCTAAAATAATCACACTATTGCGCCACGTGACCTGACAATGACCTTAAAATGATCTGTCACTTTTATAATTGTGTACACATAACAGGAGCATCGGGGGAGGAGTGGAGGTGGTACTGTAGTCATTGGTGGTTTGTTATTGACAGTCAATACATGCCCACAAACTCACTTTCACTTAAGTCAAAGTCTCTTGTTTTGTTTGTGTTCTGTGTCCTCTGACCTATATTGTGGATTCTGTGGAGGACAGCAGACTGAAATCTTCCACCTCCATGACACCTAGTGTGTCATTGTTTTGAAGCTAAGGTTACTGACCAAAATTCCTGCTGGCTCTGACATCATGTTTTCTTTTACTTGGTTTGGTTTAGTTTCTTTTGCTCGACTACTCTGCCACTGTCTCTCTTTTTCAACACTAAAACAAATCTTTGAACAGATGCCAATCGCCTGGAAACATTTAAAGCAGAAGACAGAACAAGAGCCAATTATCCTTTCCCACAATTCTTTTTCTCCTCCTTCACTCCACCTAAACCGCCTTCCTGGCCACTAAACACTCTTTCACTGTAGGGGATACCAGTATATTTTATATGTCCATCTGATGCTAACGAAAAGTCATGTGACCATTTCCATGCTTGCAAACGACATTAAAAGGTGCACAATTGCAAGATTAAGAGCGTTTCGATTGCCTCTCAACAGCTCTCAACATGGTGACGCTAGCCGGCAGCTCATAGCTAACTTTGCTAACAGCGCTAACATGCTGACAGAGATAACAATGTTTATTTGAGCGGGAACCGGACGGTGGGCGCTATGTGCTTTCATGATGACGTTCGGGACGCCGTTATGAGAGCAGTGCAGAGCAGCGCCGTGAGCTAACCAGTGATGCACGCTTACATGCACTGACCTACACTAAAAGCACACACAGCCCACCTGGCTATGTCAACAAAGCAAGGAGAAGTTCTGATAACAACACACACAGAGGGAGAGCAACTTCATTATCTGCTCAGGTAAACATTACTGCACTTCATCTTTACATAGCTAAATGTTTTTTTGCTGCTATATTAATGCTCTGAATATTAAATACAGCTCCTGATATGCCTAACATCCAGCTCTAAACATGACCTGACATGACTTGAAAAAGAAAAGATTTTTTTATAATTAGAAAATTGACATTTATAACAATTTATTGTTCTACCTGTCGGCCAGACCTATTGTCCTGTGTAACACACCTCATACCTGATAATCAGGTAAAACAAACCAGGTGTTTATTCCAGGCAGGTAGAGAGAGACAATAGAGGTTATTGAAACCATAACAATTCTTTCCTCATGATGATTCAGAATAACCTTTACTGTTCTTTAAAGGTAACCTGGCTTGTTTCACGTCAGATCATTTGTCATTGCTTTAGACAGCAATGGATTATTTATAAACTCAATTTCGGTCATTGAATTTATTTAAACAGAGGTCACCCAACGTTTTGAGAGCTACTGTACCTGAGGTTAGAGAGTAATATGGAGGGCTACTATTTTCATATAATACATATTTGTCAGTTTACCTTTTAAATAATGACTATTATGCATTTAATAGGCTACATATATTATAACACTGATGTGTTCGCTGATATGTTCACAAATGCAACGGATGTTGTTGTAAATTGAGTGATAAAAGTTTTAACTTGATTTGTGATACTGATTATAGGGACGAACACTGGAAATTGATCTTATTCCCATCTTTAAATAAAAGGATCATATCGCAAATTCCGGGTTGCACAAAAATCTTTTGGTCTCGCACAAAGGGACAATGGTTTTGACCTAAAAAGGAAGCATGTTTCCTTCCAGGGCCCATATTAAATGGTGATCCTGTTGTCTGTAAAGTTAAAGTTGTCTGTGGTTGAATCATCGTGCAGGCTGCCGTCCTCAGTCGACCCCTGAGGCTGCTCTCTTCATTCTTGGCTCCATAAAGCAGATGTGTCGCTCAAAATAAATGAAACTGACTGTGAGTCAGTCAGTTAGTTTCATTCTCTGCAGGTCTCGTCATGACACTGACAGATAAACACTAATACACACATGTGCACTTGCACTTGGAATTTAAAATATTTATACTGAAAAAAGACATGATATTTTAGAACATAACTTTTATAGTGCTGTGATAGAATAGAGACTTTTGATATTTTAAAAAGCTCAATGTTGACTTTTTGCATATTTTTTAGGACAGTTGGACTACTTTTTTTTCTTGTTTTGCAGATATGAATGTAAAAAGAAAATCGGTCTCATTTGTTCCCAATATACTTTTCTTTTACTCGTGTTTACTTCACTCTTTTAAACACACACACACACACACACACACACACATCCACAGCAACATCGCTGTACTTGTTTCTATCTTTGTAAGGACACCCTTTGACATAATGCATTCCCTATCCCCTTAACCATCACAACTAATTGCCTAAATCTAACACTTACCTCAACCCTAACCTAAACCTATAATTCTAACCTGAACCTTAAAGTATGAAACTTCAAGCAGACCTTTCACTGGCTAAAATGTCCTCACTTTCCAAAAATGTTTTCACTCTGAAGGTCTAAAACTGAAATTGGTCCACAGAAAGATAGATACACAAGTATTACACACACAACACACAAAGACAGCCCTACAAGCTCTTGTTGTTTCTCTTCCAGATGTAAAGAAGCAGTCTTTGTGTGCAGCAGACTCTGAGCCAGTCGGCGGTCTGGAGGAGTTTCAGAGCTTGACTTGGCAGATTAATAGACTTTAACAACCTGGTTTGGGTGAGAGAAAAAACTTGGCACAGAGCGAGAACGGTTACTCAAGCAGCTTTTTTTAGCTTCGTCATAGCTTCCTCATCACACCAAGGGGAGAGTAATGCAAATGTCTACTCTGTTCCTCCAGCCTTTTCCATATTGAGTCATGCTAACATTGGCTACAGTGCTCAGCACTTTGCCCGGGCTCTCGTTATGTTGCCGTGCTACATTCAACACCGTCAAGAAAATAATCCCCTCTTTGAACAGATCTCTGCCACTGATGCCAAATGCCTGGAAGCATTTGAAGCAGACGACAGAGCTTAATTATCCTTTTGCCCAAAATTCTCTTTCTCCTCATTTGCTCCACCCAAACTCCCTTCCTGTCCACCACATACTCTCTCTCTCTCTGTCCATTAGTGGATACCAGTATCTTAATCATGTCCATCTGATGCCAGTGAAATGTCATCTAACCCTTTCACTGCTTGTAAACAACATCAAACGTATCCAGCCAAGTATCCAGCACTAAACATAACCTGTCCTGCAGTGGTGTTCCAGGCTCTTTAGTGGCAGGGGGGGGGGGGTAATGAAAAAGTCCCATGTCTGCATGCAGCTTAAGGGGCAGCCTTTCACCTCCTCCAACCCTCTCCTCATAATAACCTTCCTACGTCCTCAAACCGTTTCTCCTTGGTCCATACAACCTGCATTTGCAGTCATGAGTTATAAAAAAAAGCTCATACTTCCTAACAGCAGGGCAAAAATATGCAATATTTTCATGTTTTATTATTTAAATGCATTATAGTGCAAACACTGTTGCTGTAACGCAATAACACTTTACAACAAGAGATTTGGTTTCATCAAACTGCATCATCCAATAACATCATGACTTTTGATTTCTTAGAATATGAACAATCCGATTTTCCAGAGAAGCCAATTCCTAATTTTTGTTTGTTGTAATCGTACTACAGTGATTGAATCCGATATTTCAGAGTGATGACTCTAAAGATGTGAATGGCTGAGAGCATATTTATTAACCACCACACTCTCCGATCTATATTCAACTTCAACAAGCCCTTACGCACTTTAGCTGCTGCTCTTGCACGAAAAAGGAACAGCAGGTAGAAGTCTGTACACCTGAGACAGACCTATATAACCTATTTACTTTGTATTGCTTTGTTTGCTTCATATTCACATTGCTATGCATGTAGGAAAGATAATAAGCATCCAGTCTTGGACTTGACTCAAATATATATTAAAAATGCAGCGATGAATATCAAAAGCCTAAACTGATCCAGCACATAACGCAGGATAAAAAGGTACAATGGAAAGCCATTTAGATGGAATGAACCAGAAGAAAAGCAGCTCACACACGCCGAGTGGTGTAGATTTACAAGGTCAGTCCATCTGTTCAGATCCAACAGAGACTTGGTGTCCCCCCATGTTCTTCATTGTTATGCTAGTAATGCGTATTTATTTCCTTCCTCCATCAGCTGACAGAATGGCAGCACTCTGAGGTGACCTGTAGCACAGTGCTCAAAGTAAAGACACACACTTTTGTACTTCTATACTTGCGAGGACCATCATATAACATCTAGTCCCTAATACTAATGAGAAAATGCTAAAACCTGGGGCGTGTTGCATCGTACATCTTAAGTTTTCTCCTTTAGTTTGAAACTTTAGGCTTAGTTTCTCCTTACCTGAGGGACTTAATTAAGGGTCTTGCATGAATCTTTTAAAAGTGTTCCTTTGTTGTCCTACACAGTGGGACTACATGGCAGAAGAAAAGAAGACAAGAAAACTTGCATCACTACTCTTCACCAGATCTTACCTCGTCATTTAAGAGAACAAAATATTGCAAATTCTCTCCATTTCCTAAATTTCGTAATTATGTTATACTGAAACCTATGAGTTCATTTAGAGACCAGGAGTTTTCATTCAATTTGATTTGTTTACTTGATACCTTGGACACCAGGCCTAATTGAGAAAAAAAATAAAACCCACATTATAACTACTACACAAGACATACCTGATTAATGCTTTTCCCCCTTTAATATCTCAGTCAGTTTGATCATAAATTGTTACTTAAACT